TTGCTTTGTTCATCAGGTTCAGATTCTTGATCCGTTCCCACTTCACTGAGGCGCTATTCAGCTTGCTCCCCTGTGTATCTTCATCACTCCTTAGCCTCCGCAGTCCTGTACAGTTCATGATCCTTCTCTTTCTCCCTCCCTTCTCACTGTTGCTGGCTTTGTGCTTTTCCCTTTGTTCTAAGCCTTTCCATGTGCTTGGAATAGCTGTCCAAGCAGAGTTCACAAAGACCTATTTTTTCTAAAAATGGTTCTTAAGACTGAACCTATTTCTAGCCACTTTCCAACTCAAAATGCCATACATCATCCCGTGTATGTTTTGTATTGATTTGTGTTCTCCTTTGGTGCCGTTAGACTAAATTTTTGGAACTGACTCTTATTTGTACAGTACATTTTATCTAGTGCACATTGTTCATCTAAAGCTCTATATAAATAATGAAAATGTACAGGGCTTGCTGGCACAAGTCAGTAGAGAGCTGCATTTCCTGAGGCTCTGCTTCAGAGCTCTGCTTTGTTTCCGGGAGCTCAGCTTTGTTTTTGAGTCTGTTGTGCAAGTATTTTACATAAAGCTTCTTGTGAGCTTCAGTTCTGAGGCTCATCTGTCTTGCACGTTAAGTACACAGAGACCTGTGTTGCACCAGAGTATGCAGAATGCAAAAAAGGCTTAGGCAGCTTCCTTTCCACTCCCATCTCTTCCTCAAATGCAGAAATAAAATAACTGAGAGCCCTGCCTAGAGCATGGGAGTGAATATTACTGTCCTGAAAGCATGCAGAGCTGTGTGAGGAGGCTGTGCCACCAACCCACAGAGCAGCTGGTTTTGGCCAACAGGCAAGCTGTGTGAATGAGCTTGCAAGAAATACCTGCTTAGAGTGACTGTAGTTGCAACTTCAGGATATAAAGCAAATTTGGGTAAAAAAATAAAAATGTTCATTGATGAAGGAACCCATTTGCCATAAAAATGGTGTCTTAAGACATGGTCAACAGCAGCAACCCTCCTGGAAGTTTGCCAAGCTAAGTTATTTTTGCATTGTAAAGTGCCTTCAGATAATTCTTCTGAAGGGTGCTATATAAATAAAACAACTGCCTGATTGATTTAAAGTGAATCTCTTGAATTTTGGCTCCCCCTTCTACAAATTACATGTGTCTAAATTTCCTTGCTTCAAAAATTAAACCAGCTATATCATGGGTGGAATGAGATTAATTTTATTACACACAATAGTTCATTAGTGAAGTAGGAGCAATTTCATGTATTTATGCATAGCCTGCCCAGAATATTTCTACTGCAGCTCTTTCAGATGTAAATAAAAATATAATGCTCATTGAATTGCTGATTAGACAGCATACAGTAATAGAAAGTCTTTATGGTATTGTGCTGTAGGTACACTTCAAAATTCCTAGGGAACATCAGGCTGAAACTGGCTCTGGGGCTCAAACCCATGATGTGGGCTGATGCTTTGGCCAGCAGCGTGGGCTCACCCCAGTAACTGCAGAGGCAGGAGGGTAAATCGTTGCTTTCTGGATCCAGGCTCTGCTGCACGTGCCCTGTGGAAAGCAGAAGCTTGAGCTCAGCTCTAGAAGCCCCAAAAATTCAAACAGGGACCGAGCCTTTGCAGCCACTGCCCTGGCCGAGTCTCATGAGGACTTCCAGAGCTAAAACCAGAAGTCTCTGTCTTTGTCTTGCGCTAAGGAGGCGGCATTTGTAACGGAGAGCTGCAGCAGGCTGCCCTGGATGCAGAGGAGAATGTATTAGTGTTGCGTAAATTCACATGCAGTGGTAGCCATACGTTCGTGGCTCCTCACCAAAGATTCTCCCTGTTTAAACTGCACGATGTTTATGTGCCTGCATCTGTTTTTGTCGAGTAGGTACCATATGTGAATATGTTTTTTTTTTTTTTTTTTTTTTTTTTTTTTATGCCACAAGTATCTTTATAGCCCAGTTTATTCCTACATACATAAGAGCAGCTGGCAGCTGGATGAGACTAGCAGACCTGTTAATGTCAATCCTGAGTCAGTCAGCAGGATCAATGTTTGGAGGCAGTTCCTTCTCCCGAGTGGCTGATCACAGGAGCTGCACAGAGATTTCTGCTTCTGGAACTGCATTCTTTTTCATTATGCAGTAACATCATGTTGCAACACACTTAGAGGAGCTATTCCTAATCCTGCCTGCCTTTGCTATTATTTTCAGATCTCTATCTACTTGGTAATAAATACGTGTCCTCTTGGAAGACACGCAAATGATGACGATGAAATTGTATATTTCGAGCTAATTACAGCATAAACCTGTGCAGCTTTGCCTGCTGTAGTGCAGTTATTCTTTTCCGCTCAGGACTGTTAAGACTATGCAAGGTGACCTTCTGATACGAAGCACGGTGCTGAGGCCATCAAACTCACGTCATGTTGGGCCACAGAAGAAATTAATCTGTATGTTCAGATGTCTTTACTGGTCCTGCTAAGCCCTTCAGCACTTCTATGGAGCTTTTATAAATTTGATTAACTGCCCTTAAAAAAGATTTGTGTATTTTTGCTTCAGGAATAAAATGGACATTATCTTCCTAAAAGATACAGCTAGGGAATGGTTAAGTCTTTTAATATCCATAGGTGGGAATTAGGGAGCAAGAATGGGTGCTTTGTAAGGAATTACTGGTTATTATTACAGACTTCTGAAAAACAGACATGAAATTAACAGTTGTGTGTCACTTCATTACTGCTTTGGCAGTCTGCTTTCTTTTGCTTTAAGGGTAAGATGGTTGCTAGGGCTTTGTAGTGAATAACCTTTTTGTGTTCAGCTCTAGGCAGAGTATAATTATTTTATAATTTTGGTTCATGGGGCTGTTGTAGACATTTTCTGGCAAAAAAAGAACTCAGCTTCTGTTAACCTGCCTCATACTCAGTTGCCAGTCATTGGCATGTCACAGCAACAGAAAGGCTCTGTCTGTCCTCATCATTTGCACCTGGCATTTGCCTGAGGATCTGGCTACCACCAGTGAGATGAATGCAGACTTGACATTGTTACAAGCTGGCACTGATTGACTTTGAAAAGTGAAGTTCCCTGTCAAGGTATGTGTCTGGTTTAGCAGCGTAATCACTGTGCAGGGATGAAGTGGTGGACAGCAGCTGCTAGAAGTGAAAGGATTGCATGTTGGGTTGAAGCTGACATCCTGCAAACCCGTGCAAGTATTTGGCTTCAAGGGGAAAACTTACTTATAGGAGTCAACAAACTTACTCTTCCACATGGTTGTAGTAAACTCCCCCACCATCAGGCTGTTCTTTAGGACATGACAGGTTTTTAGTCAGACTGATACAGCTGTTACAGCTGTGTTGAGTGGGGCAGTGAGATGGTGTAGGGGTAGGATCCCTCGGATCAAACGTGGATGTCTGGAACACCGGTGTCTCCATCTGAGCCGCTTGTCCTGGGTCACCCAGTAGTCCTGGAAAGCAAAGGTGTGACTTCCCCCACCTGGCTGCCAGTCATGCTTTAAGTCATGCTTTAAAGTCAGACTATGTGGGTTGTCTGGCTGTGGGCTGCAATGGCAGCAGGGGCCTGGCTCGGAGGCAGCGGGCTCGTGGGGTGGGCACCTGCAGGCAGCCAGATCCCCAGATCCCCCGGCCTGGCCGGCAGTGGCACCGCCGGAACCCGCCTCCCCTGTCACCTCCCTCGGCTTCGCTGCGGCTCGGGTCTGCTGGCACAGGTACCCTCCTCTAACCCTTCTGTAACGGAACTTATTGTCTGATGAACTGCTTCTGATCCACTGCTGCAGACATTATGTTTTGTGTTGTGTTTTGTTTTGTTTTTTTTTTTCTCCCTCGCTAATTGCTTTGCAAAGTCTCAAACCATGTGAAGTCTGACAAAAAACCCCCTTAAGTTAGCCTTGCTGGGAACTATTTAGAATGGCAGACTCCATGTATTTATGGGTTGGAAAGTGTTTAAAATGAGAGGAAACATATTCTTGCTTAAGGTGTGTCTCTAACTTGGGATCCATCACTTCTGCGTGTTGCCGCAGCAACGCTGCATTGGCATGGGAGTTCCTTTTATGGCTGATTTCCGAGCGGAGCGTGGCTGGAGCCGGCAGGCTGTTACCAAGCAACCCTGTCCTATGCTCCCGTAACTAGGAAATGCAGCCGGTGCTTTTTAATATTGCCCATGATTTTGATCATATGTTCCCTTTGTCAACTTTTGTCTTTTTGGTGTGAAATAATTACTGTGGAGTACTACAGAAAGATCCCTGTTTCGTGGGAATTTCCCCCCCCTCCTCCTCTGCTTTCCCTCTCTTGAATGTTCAATGTGGGAACATTCATAGGAAGGCGAAGACAACAGTCCACTTATTTAAAAAAAAAAAAGAAATGTTCTATTCAACACGTGACGCCGAAGAGTAATTAAAGTGATGCCATCTGCACCGTGTGAAAAGAGATGTATCCTTGGCTTCCCAGGTTTGCAGCTGATCAGATGTCGTGTTTCAGGACAAGCCTCCCCAAACGCAGGTGTTGAAATGCTTCTGAAAGTTTATTCTAGTTCCTGCTCTGATACTGATTCCTTTTGTGGTTTTTATCTTCCCTGTACTTCAGAGGGCTTTTGATAATAACCCGCCTCGTGGAGGAGGATGTGAATTAGTAAAGCTTAGGAAATCATTACAAAGATGGATGATTAAATTAAAATGTAAAGTTGTGTTAAATATTTATATTGTAGTCATATCCTACCTGGGATTGCCTGTCAGGTCCCCCCGATAGATACAACGGCATAGTCCATGTTGCCAAGAGCAGTCAGTCACCTTGATTTGAACAGGAGGAAATAGTTTATGCAAGGATTAACCTCAAGCATACAACCCCTCCTATTTAAGCTAATAAAAGTACACACAGTTTAAAGTTAACATTAAACTTTGTTGTATCAGAGGCCTGCCAAGGGAAGGCAGGACAGACTGTGGATGGGGGTGTCAGAGCAGGGGTCTCTTAGGGGGCCGCTGAAGCACGTGGCACAGAGGTGGGATCCCGGGGAGGTGCAGAGTCGCACGCCCATGGGTCGAGGGTGCAGTGTAGCGCCAGTGTGGAATAAAGCTGAGATGAAATCACAGGGAAACACATTGATTTGCTGGGTTTGAATTGTATTGTGGATTTCCTTGTGTTTTAAGGAGCGTCTTAACGCTGGCAGCTGGAGAGGAGGAAAGAACGTGGCACGTCGTTGCCAGAGGTTGCAACCTGCCAGCGTCTTGTTTTGAGCCAGCTCCTGAACATCCACTAACAAGTTGACTGATGCTTTGTATAACCTCTTTTGTGTAGAGTAACCCACTCCTCATTTCAGTTGCAACCCATGAGTGCATAGGATCTTGAAAATCACAGGGGCCTGTGTCAGCCTCTCAAGTTACTACAGAATCACAGAATCATCCGGGTTGAAAAAGCCCTTGAAGCTCCTCCAGCCCAACCATGACCCTCCCCCTGACCCTTCCCAACTCCCCCAGATCCCTCAGCGCTGGCTCAGCCCGACTCTTCAACCCCCCCAGGGATCCCGGGGACTCCCCCCCTGCCCTGGGCAGCCCATTCCAACGCCCAACAGCCCCTTCTGCACAGAAATCCTTCCTCAGAGCCAGCCTGACCCTGCCCTGGGCAGCTTGAGGCCATTCCCTCGGGGCCTGGCGCTGGGGCCTTGGCTCCAGAGACTCATCCCCCCTCTCTGCCCCCTCCTGGCAGGGAGTTGCCGAGGGCCAGGAGGTCTCCCCTCAGCCTCCTCTGCTCCAGACTGAACCCCCCCAGTTCCCCCAGCCGCTCCCCAGCAGACCTGTGCTCCAGACCCTGCCCCAGCTCCGTTGCCCTTCTCTGGCCACGCTCGAGTCATTCAATGGCCTTTTTGGGGTGAGGGGCCCAAAACTGAACACAGAACACATTAAGCATGTGATGTTCCAGGAATGCAGTTAACGACCTATTATGGTGGCAATTCTTTCTGTCCTCTGAACAAGGGAGATGGGCAGTGAGAACTTACTTCCTACGTTTGGTGTTGCAGAGAAATTGTGACTTCTTGTGTCTAGTAACCTTCCTGTAGTGTGTTTCAGAAGAGAGCATGGGCAGGCACGCAGAGGGTACACTGCCGTTTGGATCGCTGGGGGCTGGTTGTTGAGGAGCTCAGAGATAGGCTGTGAAGTACTAGATTTGACAGTGTGTCCATCTCTTCTGGTTTGCTGGCTCTGGCATCCATCAGTGCTTTTAACTGGGGTAAAAAAGCAAACAAACAAACAAAAACCCCACAAAAGGAAAAGCAAACCAAACCTAAGGCATCTATTTAATTTTTCAAGGGCAAACCCTTAACCTTGGCTGTGGAGTTCGTAGATCCTGAAGCCTGAGGTTAATTTGTGCACATACTTCCTGAAACAGATGCAAACATTATTTTTTGGTTGTACAGTTTTTATTGGGTTTGGCGTTTTTTTTTAACGGCATGTAGTAATTCATTTGGATGCACCAAGACAGGTTCCTAAATAATTCAATTTGGCATCACTCCACTGTCCTGAAATGGGCAGTATTAATGTGTTACACCAACTGTAGATGTGGCCCTTCATATCTTGTATCAGTTTTCTTTTAAATAACAATCACACCTGCCCACAGTGATATTTAACATTACTCAATCCTTGTAAAAATGACAAACTTAGCATCAACACTAAATTGACTGTGATTAGTCACATATGTCAGCATTAACAAATGATGACACTTAAAAATGCCCTCTGTGCTTTTATTTCAATTTTTCTGTTATGTTGTGCTGTGCGTTTACTATTCCCCCAGGAACGTTCATTGTCAGGGGAAGTAATTTCACATCCCACCTATTTAGCAAATAGATTGTGAGGGTTGATCTTTGTTGTTTTAAGACCGTCCTTATTTTAATCAGGTGCATATGTCCCAGCCTTCACTGAAGCAGACCAGATTCTAAATCTTCATACTTAGTACAGTTTCCATCCAGTCTGTTGTCAGCTGTAACTGGTTCTTTTAATCTTTTGTAGTAAATGTCAGGTGAGGAACTGACAGTTCTGAAGGTAACAATTTCCCATTTATCCAGTCTGTAATACATGAGTGGATACTTACTGCCTGTGAATGACCACTGCTGTCAATCCAATTTAAAATCCGTTCTCTTCTGTACTTCTGGAAGGATTCTGCCTGTATAATTTATCTGTAGATTATAAAGGATAGGGTAGCAGTGAATTAAAGCCTACATTCAATTTATTAGTTGTATTTTAAATATTTGATCACAGTGAAGCTAAAGATTCAATACCAACATAAGGTATGAATATGCGTTACAAATGGCTGTAGTATTTGAAATGGATCAAGTGAAAAAACCCACATTTCTGAGAAAATTATAGCTACACATATACTGCATTTCAAGCCTAAGTATCATGCATTGTTTACAATCTAGGAGAGGAATAGAAGCCTCTAGATAGGAAAGAGAAGAGAAAGATTAAGACTGATGTGTGCTGTAGGATGAGAGGGCACATAGCTAATATAGCACTGAAAATACAACTTTGGATGGCTCTTGTCATGTTTTAAACTCTTGAGCTGCCTTCAGCTCTTGTTCACAGAACGGCACTTCTAATACTTGATTCCCTTTCTTGCAGTCCTTTCTGCTCATCCATGAAGAAACAAAGCTGAAATCAGGGGGTGAAAGGCATCCTGTATAAAGCAGGGCATGTCTGTATTTACTGTAGTACTTCCACTCTGTTTATGCAATGAGCTGAATGCTGCTTCAGGTGGAATAAGGCCTTTCGTTGAATGTGCACATCTGCAGTGCTGTGTTCTTTGTCGTTCCTCTGCCTGAATTCCCATTGGAATTCCCATCTGGTAAGAACCAGGTTTCAAAAAATATGCCAAACATCTGGTAAAATCACGACTCTACACAAGTTTATTTTTGAAATATTTGTTCATGAGTTTCACAGATTTGCCAGGTGGTGATCACTGTTGAAAACCTGTCCCTAATTTATTATGTAAATTACACCGTTGAGTTAATGGATCCACTTGTAAGTTAGCATGCTACCCAGTGTGAGTTAGGCTGGTAGCATCCATCCTAGTAAGACACACACTTGACTAAATGGTGTTTACATTCTCTGCTCTCATTGTGTGATGGTCATCCCCCTGTGCATCGTTGGAATGAATTCCAGGTTATGTGGGAATCTCTTCATGGCAAAATGTTGATTTAATGAATTTTGAGCAGGAGAAACACAACATCAAAAGCCAAGACACGCAGGGAATAAGTGACTGGAAGTGAGAGAGCTTCATTTAAGGGAAGAAAGAACCAGGACAAATACTTATCTACTGTGTTGTTAAAGGCTTCCTTTTCTTCTCAGACATGAAGAAATCGGTGTAAGACAGACATGCTAGCAGCTACTATCCATGTTAGCTGCTTTTTGTGCTCAGTATGTCAAGGAAAGAAAAAACAGATTTATGACTCATTGTTTTCCAAGGATGCTGCTTCCTCTGCAGATATTTACAGGTTGTTTTTTGAGGAAAACTTACAGTTTACAGGCTGCCCACTGACTTTCCATTTTTATTGCAGGGTCATATTATTACTGCATAATTCATCATATAATCACATAGGTTCTGCATTTAATGCTGGATTAAAGAAAAAAATGCCTTAGCTGCTCTTACATTATTATGTCTTTTACCATAGATCTTTAAGACAATGTAGTGATACAGCCTGTATCTCTGTATGTTGGTAAGGCCGGTGTTCTTCAACCCCAGGGCTCAGTTGAGACTGGAAGGTGTTGACGTCCCCTCGTGTAAGCAGTCTTCTCTTTTCCATCTGAGAAATGTGGCTGCTGGTCTTGAAGAGCTCCAGAGTCATCTTTGGAGCAGGAACCTGACATTTTTTTACCTAAATAGCCTTAAAAACAGCCTCAGGGTTGGACTGTCACTTTAAAAATTAACTCATCAAATATTTAACACCTGGTAAGTACTGCAATTGTTACTTTCAAAACTGAAAGTTATTCTCATTTGGAAAGTGTTCCAAAACTTGACAGTGTTTCCCACATATTTATAATGTTTTCCAACTGGAAACATTTGGAAAATAGTAGTGAAGTGTGTGCATAAGTCAGGAGGGAAAGCTCACTCTTACAAAAGCCTGAAAACGTGTTTGGAAGCAATCTTTTTCCAAGTACAGTTGAGATTAAATGAAATGTTGTTTTTCTAATAAAATTTTTCAGACCTCTTCAAATTCTCATACTGATGGTGAAGCACAGAGGAGAGGAAAAGAATTTGCTTTTCCTGTTTTCTCTAAACAACAAACCAAAAGACTATAAAAACTGATATTAAAACAGTGAAAATGGTGTTAGAATTGCAAAGCCAAGGATTTAAGCAATAGGAAATGAGGGAATTGAGGTTCCCATCTGATTTTATTAATTACTTATGCCTGAGCCATCTTTGCCGTGGGCCTCGTTTTCTTTTGCATCGCCTATTGGGTTATTAACACCAAGGCCCAGTATGTGTAAAGCACCTAAATGTTGCTGCTTTAGAAATGCCGTAAATTGACTGCACAAGGATAAGTGACTGCATAAAGCAGAGGGAACAATCCACTGGACTCGTGTCTTCCAGCTGTTTTCTTTTCATTATACTTTTAACTTGTTTGCTTGCAGTTGTGTGTTTACACTCAGCTGTCAAAAGCCCCAGCAGTGGAGCTGTGATATTTTCAATGGACCCGTGGCAGATGTAGCTAAATTACTGGGGTAAAGAACCTTTGGCTTTTTTACAGTACTGGATAGATTTGTCATGAACACGTAGCAAAAACAGCATCTGGAAGGCCAGTTGGAAGCAAGGAAACAGGGGAGGACCTTTACAGCATGTGTACAAAATTGTTAGCTGAAAGGCAAAAATCTCTTTAGATTGGCAGCTCCTACCCTCAACAACTGTCCCGACAGCTCAGCAACACTCATCTGCTCAGCCCTGCTCTAGAAACCACGAGTTTTAGTCCTGTTGCCGCTGCTGAGGTTAATGTATGGCTCACGGTAATGGCAAGCGAGCTTGAGAATATTCCCAGAAGGTTTAGCGTTTGTTTTCTAAATAGAGAGAAAAACAAAAGGGAGTGCTGCTAAAATTATCTCTTGTATTATAAACAAATGCAGAGAGCTGTGGGAGCGCTGGCGGGCTTTGATGGCCGGTTGTAGCTTCAAAAGCGGGTTAATCTGCCGAGCTCTCGCTTATAGGTGTCGGTGCCGTGAATTAAACACGCTATAGGAAATGTCAGCAGCAACTGAATAAACAAGCTGCCTTGAAACAGTGTTGGCTGGATGAATGACTGGTTTAATGGCACCCACTGGAGAATGGTTTTGTCAATACCAGTAATACGCCGGTATTGTAAATAAGAGTTTGGAACCGGAGTATTGGCATTTGTCAGATTATGGATTTTTCCTGTATTGAAAGGGAGTAGAAAGGAGGCAGTGTTGATGCAGGGTGATTCCAGCAGGGCCTGCGCAGCCGGGAGGCACGTGGTGAGCGGCGGGCGGCACGGAGTTGCCTGTGTGGTGTGGTGAAGGCAGGGCCTACGCTGGGAAGGCTGGGGCCGAACCTCAGCCCACGTCATCTCTGTCCCTCCTGCGGGAAAACTGCCTCTGGGGTTTTATGGCCAGTTGTAAACTGTCTGTTTGAGAATTTACTTTGGAGAAACGTCCCTAATTTTTGCAGCTTGCCTGGAGGAAAATAAATTAGCATTTATTTTATTTACCACTATTAAGGCTGTTTACAGGATGGCCATTCAAGTACCCCTACCTGGTATACAGTAGATGCTCTGAAAGCTAATTAACTAAGTAACTAGAGCAAATCCACTATTAGGTATGCAGGGAAGGTAACGCTGACAGAAACCAACAACAGGGTGAACAATTAAGCAGATGGACAGTTCTGCAAATGACTCTGGAATTTACAGTGGGAAATGTCCTTTGAAGGCAAGGGAGTTTTGCGATTTATTTGAAAGGGACCAGGATTTCACCTTGAGCTTTTGAAGCCAACAGGGACTGTGGATGTATCTAGTGTGACCGCTTGGGAAACCCGTGCACTGCAGGGTGGAATGACATACCTGGGATGCAAAACCCCTGGAGAAAAGAGTTGAAAAGATGCAAAAGCAGGAAGATTGGGCTAAGGTGGTCTCTGATTAGGGTCATCTGACCTTTTCTCTTGTGTGTTTTTTCTTGTTCCTGTCTGAGGGTGAGGAAAAGGTTATGCTGTGCCCTCAGTCTAATATGGCTGGAGCTACGTGAGCTGTGAGAAAGGTTAATTCGAACATAATAATTCTTCTCTGTTCTGTGATACAAATGGTTTTTAAAGCGTAAGCACTTATTTTTAGGATTGACAATACACAGCTCTATTGGCCCACAAAAAAAGTAAAAATGGATGGATGTGGATTGTGCAGATGTATGTGAATAATTCTTGGCAAAACCCATTATATATTCCTCAAATGCTAAATCTTAAGACATTTCCCTCTCTCTCTCATTTCCAGTTACACGTTTTGCTGCACTTAATCTTTTTTTATGAGAGATCATTCTCAAATATTGCAGTTTGTAAATGGTTTTCCTGGTGCTGGGCTTTTCTAAAAAAATTTTTTTTAAAGCTTCTTGGGTGCCATAAATATTATTTCTGTAGCTCAACATCAAATGGATTGCTGGAATAACCAACGTTCATGTCCTCAGTCATTTGCTGCTGTTGTGCTGTGTCCTCACTGGTGGACTGTGCAAAGCATGTTTGAAGTATGTTTTCCTCTAGGTTGCTCAGATATTTTTCTGTTCATACACACAGGTTTCATAGCTGAAACTTGCAGCGTGTTTTGAAGGCAGCCAAGAAGGAACTTTAATGGCTCTCCTGGAAGTCGTTCAAAAACCGCTCCCATTGACTGCATCGGATATTGTATAAGGCCCCAAAAGCAATTTCCAGGGAGGTATAAGGTAAGGGATGATAACTTGAATACTGTAGGCCTGTATTAAGAATGCTTTTTGGAAGGTGACATTAAAACTTCTAAGCGTATCTTTTTGCCATACAAAAAAATGTATCTAAATCTTAAACTCTCTGGGTCAGTTCTTTTCTGTGTTAGTTTGGGTCCAGCACGGACTGCACGCTGCTCTGTGGCCTTCCAGAAATTCTGGTTAGTTTAGATAGTCCCTTTTCCCCACAGTATAAGAATTATCTGCCTTATGCCCAAAAGAGTAATAATTGAAAAACAAACTCTAGCAAAAACTGGCCCTGTGTGCCTCTTGGTGAAGCTCCTCTGTCCTGTGAATCCAGCTTGGGCTTCCTGTTCCTCCTGCCAGGGTCTCACTGTCCTCCTCCGCCAAAGGAAAATCGTCCTGCCGCCTCGACAAGTGACTGTTTCCCATCAGAGTCACTCAGACTCTGAGGTGTGTGCTGACTCCTCCTATTCTAATAAATCCAGCCTTGATCAAATCACCTCATCAAGCTATAGGAATCTCTGTCACCCATATGTAAGGAACAAAGCACAGATCCAACAGGACACATTGAAATCACAGCTTATTCTCTACAGGAATATTCTAGTTCCTGTTCAAATCTGAATTCTTAAGCACTGTTTCAGGCTTCTTCCTTTCAGTGCTACCTTAGCTTTAAGGTCTTGAATGCTTTGATTTCATGATTTTTTTGTTTGTTTGGTTTTTTCTCTCAAGTTAATTGTTCTCACCCTTGATTTAACTTTTAATCTTCTGCACCCAAATTCTTCCAGGACACAACTCCTGAAGCAGCTGTTCCATAAACTGGACTACGAGGTTACTTTTGCCTCCCAGGTCACACACTTTTGGAGGTTATTAACAATGTGACCTCAGCAACACTTAAAGAGTCAATCATTAACTCAGTATTAGAATGTAAGCCACCTCTGCTGGGAATTATTGTCTGAGGGTAGACAGCCTAGGAGGTAGGATAGAGATGAACTTCAAGCAAGGAAGAATTATTCAACAGTACACATTTATAAAAGAAAAAGGTTAATTCAAGAAAGAAGTTGGTTGATGTTTCTTGGGAGGGGCTGTTGTTACTGAGTGTGATATTTGCACCAATAGCAGAGGTGGAAAAATACTATGACCTGCTATGGTGACTGAGTATAGAAACATTCTTAATTCCAAACTGGAGTGGATACAAACAGCAACTCCACTTACAGAGCCTCCTCGAGGGAAGCAGTTTGCAGTGTGCCCTTTTGCAGGAGAGGAGAAAACCTGGCCGGCACTAATTCACGCTTTCTAGACACAGCAGCCAGTCTCTTCCCTTTAGCTTGTGATGGTATCTTTGGGCAAAGTCACTTATGCCACAGTGCATTAAAGGCATTGTATAAAGGGTACTGCATTACTGTATTGTCATGAGTTTAGAGTGTTTTATTGCAGCAGAGAGATAAGAAGTTCCTAGGAAAAAAAAAAAAAAGCAGCTTCAGCTGCATCAGGTCCAACCAATATAATAGCAGGTGTCCCCATGGCTGTGGCTGCAGTGAGAGCTATCAAAGTGTTGTCATTGTTTATGATGTTCAAGGTTTTTTTCTTCCACCTTTTTTCTCTTTCTTTTGCTATATTTTTTTTTTTCTTTTTTCCCTTGGTACTACCACCCTGGCTCTGACAGAGTCCTTGCTTTCAAATGCTGTCAGAACACCCAGTGTAGCACATGCTTGTCATAGGTACCGTGAGCATCCTGGATCACAGCACTGTGGTGCAGCTATGTGGGTTTTGGTTTTTTGTTTTTTTTTTTTCACATACTTGAAAATGGCATGCAGATTACTGGTGAATCACTCACTTTTTATAACATGAATAAAGTAGTTGCTTCAGTTTCTCACAGCACACAAGCATTTGTGAGTGTTTAAGTTTCCTGAAGACCTTATTTTGTTAGACAGAGGCTCCCCACACTATACCCATTCTGATTGGAGCAGTGATTTTTGAACTCTTCATAAAAAAGACTTCCAAAATGTTCTGGTGGTGATGCTGGTCCCCAGGCAGGTGCCACGTGAGCAGAGTGCTGCATGGACTTCCTCTGCAGAGGCTGGTGCCTGTTGAGGGGTCGCTGCAGCTCCCTTTGCCCAGGGGTGGCCGGTGGTAGCGCTGGGAGGGGCAGGTCTGGGTGCCCCATTTCTCCGATCGGCTCCCTGGGGGGGCTCCTTGCCTGTCACTCTTCCTCTGTGCTCTCTTCTTTGTGTGGAGATGAGCGTTTCATCACGTAACCCAACGCTGTCTCTGCGGATACGCAGAGCGCCTCTGCGTAAAAGAAAAGCACTTGCTCAGTTACCTCCTGCAACACCTTGATGGCCATGAGGATGTAAGCGGTCGTAGGTTGAAACCCCTGGCCTGAGTTCCAGTGCCAGGAAGAGTCACTGGCCCTTCTCAGCTGTACAAGTCACGCCATAACCTCAAACAGCTCTTGCCACCTCTCTGCTTAGAGTTATCCGATTACTTATTTAAAAGACTTTGGGGAGGAAGAGACAGGAGCTCTATGTATCATTGCACATATGCCTAAATATTTCAGTGTGAGAGTGCTGTGGAGGTTAGAGTACTGACAGCAGCACGGAGTGCCCAAAGCTGACCAAATATTTTCTGTGCTTTTCTTGCTGTGCTTTGCTTGAGTAATCAGGACAATTCTCTGTTAGGCATAAAATGAAAGTAAATGATTAGAATAAAGATGTGCTGAGCTACTTGACAAGACTTGAGTACAGGGTACAGAATCTGTGGGTGTTTGGCACAGCCCCAGCACTGCAGATATTTTCACTCTTGCTTATTTTTGATTCTGTTCAAATATGACTTACCTTAAAAAAATTAACTGCAAAGTATCTGATGTTACACAACAGATACTCATAATGGAAAAACTGGCACAACAAAGCTATAGGCATGAGTTGTAGGGCTCGAGTGGTGTTCAGAATTACCCAGGCTTCAGCTCCTTCTGGAGCGCTCAGGCAATAATTGGTTGCATGTGGAGTGGTTTGTTCTATCAAATCACCCTCATTCAAAGAAGAAACCCCCAGAAAGGCTTCAGAGAGGCACAAGCCACACAGCCACACCGTCATTGGCTCCCTTCGCTTACAGTCCTCTGTGGATTTCAGAAGCAGCTAGGATGGGATGCTGAGGAAAGCAGTAACATTCCCAGAGGGATTTACACATGGAAATTCTTCCTAGGGACAAAGCAGCAGAGCATCTCTAGTACATCTCCTCCAGTGCAGTACCCAGCCCCCAAAGTCTCTTTTCTCAGGATCCCTGCAAGGCAACATGGTGATTTAGAAACTGAATTATGTATTTTTTTTTCCATCCTAAGGGGTACATTTACTTTAGGTGAACATTTGACTTACTCTGCTTCTGGCTAAAATAGTAGTGAAAGGGACTGCAAGCTGTGGCAGAGAGCCCCTCCCATCCTGCCCATCCCAGGATGCATTTTAATGCAGCTACTTTGGAGATGTTCCGGGGATCCTTTGCCAGGAGCGTGCACACAGCGAGTCTGGTGGTAGCAGAAGCAATCTGTAGCTCTCCAGGGTTGCCTGGTTAAGTTGTAAGTCCATTATCAAACTTTGTTTCTTAGTTGCAGGTCTAGGCTGCAGGCATCACATCTGGATCAGGAGGAAGAAATGGCTCTCTCATGTGTGGGCTTCTGTTAAGTATCAGTGCAAAAACAAGAGATGAGAAAGAGGCAAGGGCTGGGATAATAACTGCTAGCAGACAGCTGGGATCAGCTGAAGTAAGGAAACCGTTAAAAAGGAATTGCAGCATCAAAGCATCATTTTTCACTTTGTAAATTCAGCTCCAGTATGTCTATAGTGTCATTTGTCCTGAAGATTTGGATTCCTGTGCTGCATCAGAGTGCTAACAGCTCTAGCAGAGGGATCTATCACTGAACTGCAGGCGTCTCTGGGGTGTAAAACAACAACAGCTTGATGGCACACAACAGCCGTTCAGGAAAGCGTAAGAAAGAAGTTTCAGTAAAATAACAGAGCAGTTGAGAAGGACTGTAGGAAGGGTGTACAAACAGAACACAGCATAATAGGCCAAGCAGGCTGCATCTTGATCATGTTCTTGCCTTTAAGATAGACAATTCTGAAAAAATAATTTGTCATTAAGTGTTATAGTACTGCACTGACGTGAACACACAAGTTTTGCAGATCTTTATAGCTATCACCTGGTGACAGGAAGCTGTCAAATGAGAAATGCAGTAGTGGTTACAGCAGACACTGAAGAGGAACATTGAAAACCAGGAGCATTTTCATGAAAGGAAAGACCCACACCCCCTTTCATAATAAAGTCTTTTGAGTATAGCCCACACATGGTTTGGAGGCAGCTGCTTTGCTGATTACTGCAAGCCAAAATGTTATATCAGTACACACCTACTTAACAATACCAGTTGGGTTAATTAAGAGAAGGTTACATTTTGGTTCATGTGCCTTTTGAAAAGTGGAATAAACAAGGATCTTTATTCCCTTGGGAGAAAAAAAAGTGCAAATTCTGCCAGCTGGTTTGTAATATGAGAGTGCTTTACATGGTGTATTTTCACAGCTGTCTTATCAGTTTCCGAAAATGAATCAGGGTGGAGCAAACAGTTTAGGAATGTCATGAAAAAAGGATTTGGAGCTTTGCTGTGGTTCATGATAATGATGCCCTCTTGGTATAGTGTATCAGAGTTGGAAGATCCTACTGGAGATAGGAATAATGCTTTTAAAATATTCTCACACAAAATTCAGCAGCTATTGCCTCTAAACTCTGGATGGAGACATCCTCTTCACGTTTTATGGTGGTTTGGCTTAGAGCAGTTCTCGGATGCCTCATGCTGTGAGATTCACTTCTGCAAAACGTGGCAGTTTCTGTTGCTGTGACGCGTTTCAGTGGGAGCTGAGGGATCTCGAAACTCTGTGGACCTGGGTGCTTGCTTAATCTTAGTTGAGATCATCAGCTCTGTCTAAACCAGCTGCCTAAAGGTCAGGTCTTTCCCC